CTCCCACCGAAAGTGATCTCCTCATAAATTGGAAGTCGCAGCTGGTATGCACTACACAGCCGCCCCCCTTCCGATCCATCGTGAGCGTGTGCTCCATAGGCTGTCAAGATGGCTGACCGGAGCGCACTGCGCAGGCATGGCTGCCTGTCTGATCGCTCATGGACATGCATTCCACGGGCGGTCCCGATAGGGCCCTGTACCCACTGCGTAGACGCTCTTGGAGTCACACACACTGGCGTGCATTCCACTGGCATCTGGAGCCGCCGCTATGTTTTCTGTGTGTTTTTTCCCCCCTTCTACTGCTGACCTGGTGTACTACTGCCCAGCTCATTAAAAAGTATAATGGAAATGTATCATACTCCTATCCAACTTACCTATGTGTGCAGTGCAGGTCTTGGATATTTTTTGCAAGCAAGCATCCTGGATGTTTTTGGAACGAATATACATATTTTTTTAAGGTACACAAGTTTTTAAAGTAAAATTGCTACAGAACCCTAAGTTCCTTTGATCACTATGACTATTAATACTATCATTATTACCATTATTATTATTACTCAGTCACATCATGTGTCTGTGTACTGATGGCATTTATACATGCATTCAATATATTTTTAAAATATATATTTTTACAATGTTGATAAATTCTTCCATATTATTTTACCTTGTTTAGCATGTTTTTCTGACACCTACGTCCCACCTTCCTTGTTGGGACTGCCCAGCCCATTTTATAATGCCTTGTTCGTGAGTAATAAATCTCATTTTAATAAAAAATTACAGTTTTTTATTGAGGTAAGGCGCAAGGTTGTTGCGCTTTCTTCTTGTTTTCATTTGCAGTACTGGTCAGGGCTTCCCCAGCCTTGTTAAGAGCTGCACAACCTTTGATCCATTGGTGGATGAACTTCCTAGTGGTTGATCCATCCACCCACCCTTGATCTGGGTCCCTGAGCGCAGGAGGTGGTGTTTTTGTCTCTATTAAGGGGGTTACAGCATGGAGCTTGGGGCTGGTGCACTAGATACATTAAATGTACAGGGTCATGCATAGAGGAAGTAAGAGGGGAAGGGGTTAACATACAGGTTACAAACAGTAGGAAGAAGAAGAAAAGGGGGGTGTTAATGTAGAGATGTGTAATATAAGCGAGGCGAGAACATATAAAGTCTACTGCAGAGACAAGAAAGGGCTAAGCTATAAATGAAAAGGGGGGTGGTGAAAGGGTTACAAATGGTCCAAACAACCTTAGGATCTGCTGATACACTGATCTGGAACTGATTAATTCATTCATTAGTTCCCTTTTCCTTTGTTGGAAGAGGAATGGGTGGACTCTGCAATATAAACACTACAATGTTTACATTTGTGATTGGTCATCATAGCAATCACATAATACAGTGCAGCTCAGATTGGCTCTGTGCACTGCATCTTGGTTCACAGCCATTAAAAGGTGCACTGGCTGCCCAAAGGTAATTTCTGCAGAGCCCTTTATAAATGGCATGACAGAAATAAGCATCCACTGCTTTGCCATTAAGAAATGTATGGAGATACATAACACTTTCTTTATAAATGTTTATATTGTATGTGTGCTAAATTTTACTAGCAGGAAAATTAGTAATGATGACAAACCATTAAAATAGTTGGTCTACATGCAACATTCAAAATCCTACGACTAGAAAAGTATGTGAATGTGGGCTTGAACACACCAGTCCCAAAATCGTATACCAGGACACTGGCATTGATCAGTTTTTTTCCAGGGTTTCAACAGATGTGGGGAGGTCCCTTTCCATGTTATTAGAATTATGTTTCTAGCATAAGAATAAAGGATACATTACAATCAGTTGGCATATTTAAGAACCAGTTATCAAAGACACCCAGTTGACAATGTTTTGGGGTGTAACACATTGGGAAGTCCCAAAAATGAGGAAATAAAAACATTGACCTCCAGTCAGAAGCTATGGACATAATGATAAGTCCAAAAATAATGTATGAATTCAGCTGTATTTCCACAGCCCTGTAGGCAAACAGATGTTGGACGCAAGCCCACTTTATGTAATCTGGCAGGTGTCAAGTGGCTGTAGTGAAACAGCTTCTGTTGTATTTCCCTGTCCAAATTACCAAGTTTTTTTATAGGTTTATTCAAATTCCAGCCAAACTTGGTCAGAAAGTTGGAGGTCTGGCAAAGACCATTTGTGTTGGGCCTTTAGGTATCTAGCTTTAGACTCAGTGATAAGTGTAGAGTAATATATGGAAATTAAGTTAGTGGCATCTGATTTCCTTAGGATAAGACCGTGCGGGGCCCTGCCCACATGGCTGCGTCATTCATTCACAGTGTTCTGCCTGAGCGGCTGTCGAGTTGTAGTTCTCAGTGAAAAAGCTGTGGGAACGTCGTGGTAGTTAATTGAATCTTCCTGTCAGTATATCTGCTTGCCTGTACATCCCGTACGGGCAAGCAGATATACTGACAGATCTGCAGGAGACCTGCATGGCACCAGCAATCTGCTGATCGTTGGTGCAAGGCTTTACAGTCTCCTGCAGACAAAAATAATACCTGCAAAGAAAGTGTATTTAATATTTGTGTGCAAAAGGTGAACTTTAATTACCACTGTTTTTTTTTTTTTTTTTTAAACATTTGAAAAAAACACAAAAATATTTTGTTTCTGTTATAAAATTTTGCAGATAAATAATCTTTATTCTTAAAATTAGGCCAAAATGTATTCTGCTATATCTCTTTGGTAAAGATAACCTAAATCAGTGTATATTATGTCATTTAGTCTGTGTAAAAAGTTATGGAGTCTACAAACTATGGAACATATATTAAAATATTTGAAAATTGATCATACCTGATGTACTGACAGCCTCTCATTTCCTGAGGCCTTAAAATGCCAGGAGATTAAAAATACCCTCCCAAATGACCCCTTTTTGTAAAATAGTCCAAGGTGTTTAGTGAGAAGAATGGTGAGTTTTTTTAAGTTGTATTTTTGTTACAATTTTGTGGCAAATCAAGAAACTAAATACTTTTTTTTCACAATTTCTTTTTTTTTTATACATACTGTCACTAGAGCAGTACAGAGTCATCAACTGACTGGTGTGGTGGTGATCAGGAACAGTATGTAAAAAGAAAATATATATATATAAATTAATTAATTTATTTTTTTAACTTTTCTCTTTTTTTTTTAACATACTGTGTCCATAAAAGTACACTGTCACCATAGTGATCAGGATTTTTATCCACTATAATTGCCCATTAAAGTGATGATCTGATCACTGTTATAAACAATAATTTTTAAAAAACAATAATGTTTATGAATGGCATCCATTCATGTGCCATTGTGTACCATTGTGACAGCTGTACGTGGCTACAGCTATCACATGGTACATGTCTGCTGTGATTGGCCTTGTATCTTATGATCACTATCACTAATAACAAAGATCACAATAGTACATAATAAATGGCTATGAATGAAAGCCATTGTGCAACTATTCACATGTGATAGCTGGTCACCACGATTACATGGTACTGGGACTGGCCCAGGCTAACAATCTGTCCTCCACTGTGTCCAGTGTGCTGTTGGAGGACGTTCATTAAGGATTAAAAAGAGTAATTTTATAATAGGATGGACGGGAAGTGGTTTCATTTCTTAAATTTTTGTGCAATTCACAGATGTCACAAAAAATTGATACCAAGTGATGACCATCCTTGTGTATCAGGAATGGTGAGTATTTCATGAAGGGAAGGATTAGACCACAAAGAGTTGTGCAGAGTAGAGCTGGACCACTGCTCAGCTAAAAAAAACAAAAAAAAAAAACGCTTTTGTATATCAATATATATATAAGAAATATGGAGAGAGAGATGTATAAAAATATGGAGAAAGCAGTACATAGCATGGGCAGTTCCCTGGAAGGGGGGGACCCGTCACCTGTAGACAATATGGTGGTGGTGAATGCATTATCTGGAGATGGGTTAAGTCAGGGGTGGGCAAACTTTTTGACTTGAGGGCCGCAATGGGTTCATATATTGGACCCGGGGGGCCGGACCAAGAGTAGATGAATGATGCGTATGTGTCATCCATAGTAAGTATAGTAATATTCCCCCATAGTAAGCATAGTAATTAATCCCCCATATAGTAATTCATCCCCCCATAGAGTAATTCATCCCCCATATAGTAATTCATCCCCCATAGTAATTCATCCCCCATATAGTAATTCATCCCCCATATAGTAATTCATCCCCCATGTAGTAATTCATCCCCCATGTAGTAATTCATCCCCCATGTAGTAATTCATCCCCCATGTAGTAATTCATCCCCCATGTAGTAATTCATCCCCCATAGTAATTCATCCCCCATATAGTAATTCATCCCCCATATAGTAATTCATCCCCATAGTAATTCATCCCCCATATAGTAATTCATCCCCCATATAGTAATTCATCCCCCATATAGTAATTCATCCCCCCTATAGTAATTCATCCCCTATAGTAATTCATCCCCCCTATAGTAATTCATTCCCCATATTAAGTCCCCAAGTCCCTCCTGTGTCAATTCACTTACCTTTGCTCCGCGCGTTCCTCTCGCCGTTCCGGTGTAGCATGAAAATCTGTCTCCTATGAGGATCTGTCCCCCTCGACGTATCTGCGCATGTGCCAGTTTCAGGCATTAGCAGCCGATCGGCGATCTCCGGCACATGCGCAGATACGTCGAGGGGGACAGATCCTCATAGGAGACAGATTTTCATGCTACACCGGTCTTCAGGGCGGACTGTGAGAGGAGCCTAGCTCCCCTCACGTTCGTCACGCTGCCCCGCCTACACACATCCTGACAGCCATCCTGACAGTATCACGCTCCGCGGGCCGGATTAAAAGGTCCGCCGGGCCGTATGCGGCCCGCGGGCCGTAGTTTGCCCATTGCTGGGTTAAGTCAATCGTGAATATAGACAAGTTGAGTGGCCAGATAATAAAGATAAAAAATTATTGACCATATGTTACGTGAACATTTAGTAGTAGTTATCTTACCTTGATCTGTTCAAATTCTTCCGCTTTGGAGACAACTGCAAAAATATCTGCTTCAGTTTTGTGGGCATCAAATAATTCATTGAATGTCTGCGAATTTAACATGAGAAAAATATTTATCAGCTCAATGCAAACTTGTAGCATCTACCCATACCACAAGATCAATCTATTAATACATTCTGCATTATCATTTATTTGGAAAGTGACACAATACTGCAGTTTTTCAAAACAGAAAGTCCCTAGGCACAAAGAAAATTCCAGTGAAGGGAAAGTTCTTGGACTTGTTGAAAAATGTGGGTAAACTATATAATCCTGATCAGCAGGCAGGTTGAATAATTAATATACAACAGTATATAACATTAACTAATGTAAAACAAACAAAAAAAAAAGCTGGATTTCCTGCTGGGCCCCCAGTTTTGCTGCTGACCCTGGCAAGGCCATGAACAAGCAGTAAGTCTGGTTGAGAAGAAGACTGCTTATTAGCATCAGATTTCTTCATATGTTTCTATGAAGCATAAACTAAAGACCAGGGGCGGACTGACAACTCATGGGGCCCCCGGGCAATAGAGGATCATGGGGCCCCTGTGTCCTTGCCCAAACTAAAAAAAGCCTATGAAAAAGGTATCAGGGGCATCTCATGGAGCCCCCTACTGGCCCCGGGCCCTCGGGCAGCGCCCGAGTTTCCAAATGGTCAGTCCGCCCCTGCTAAAGACCCAGTGAACCTCCAGTGTAATGCTTTCTGTGAATTTGGAAAATCCTAAGCCAGTGAGGGCTAGAAGAATTTTGTAGTTGGCCCATTTAAAGCAGAAACTGCAGATGATGTATTTGTGGAATATCATAGCTGTTTACATTGTGGGTCACAATGCTTCATAAATACATTAATAGGAATGTATAGTCTCTTCAATATTTTACAGGTTGGTGTAAAGATTATTCTATTTACAGTTTTCAGTGGTATAATACATGGGGTTGCCATAGTGGCTCATTATAAACATGGGTTCTGTTTCTTGCCTGGTATTAGTACACATGGGGTTTGCCTTATTGTTCTGTCTTGCAGTACAAGTTTAGGAATCATAATAACTCACTGAAAATACACCCATATGTCCGACTGTCTTATTTGAACAGTTGTTAATCAGGGAAGCGCTGAGCTCCAGTAGCGGATCTACAATTCTTTGCACTGAATAGAACAAAAACCTAAGACAGCATCTGGAACTTAAAGGAAACATTTAACAGGGAAGCATGGAGGATGACAGTGCTGAGTGTCTCTTAAGAAAATGCCATAAAAAATGTATTTTGCCATACTGTCTTGCTACCCTTTTTGCTTCAATACAATGGGGAAAATGTGTTGGAGACAAGTTCTGACTCAACTGGTGTTGTTGCCCGTAGCAACCAATTAGCTTCTATCCTTTGTTTTTTTTTCCACACAGCTTTGCAAAAGGTGGTTGAGACAAAGTTTGTATCGGACACTTTTTAATAACCTCCCCTGCCCACCTTGAGTCAATGACCTGGAAGAAAAATGCAGTAAAGGTCAACGAATATAGAAATAATCAGTCAACAGGAGGGATTTCCTAGACCTAGCCAGTTTCGATTGTTCCTGTCTCAGGAGTGTCTGATCAGGACACCAACATGCAGACCTTGATACCAAATAATATCTATGGCTTATTCTACCACAGAAGATGGTGTTATAAAAATAGATAGTAAAAGATAACATTGTGAAACTTATCCTCTGGCTTGCAGCACATTTTGCTACCAAATATAAATGCACTTTAAAAGCAATACGTCTTGCTGGAACTTTCAGTGCTTCTTGAGCAAGTGCCAGTGATTTATAAAACCTGACAAAAATTAGACTAGAGATAACTAGAGAATGATTTCCCAAGCTAAGCAACAACACCATCTTGTGGCAGAAAACTCTAAGTGAACCGGTATCAGTACTTCCCATAATATGTCTACCTTTGCAATCAGCCGACTGTGCTATTATGTGCAAACCATTTGCCACAGTAACCACAGAAGTCTGATTTGCCAAAAGCAGGACTAATGTGCCTAGATACAAATCAATTATTTTTGTAAGTTGCAGCAACAAAACAAAACATGCAATCAGGGGATTCCTACTGCATTATATTGTAATTGTACTGTCTGCCCTTATGTTGTAAAGCTCTGTGTAAACTATATAAATCCTGTATAATAATAGCAGCAGCAATTGTTCCACAATTTTGCTGGCACAATGCACAGACAAAACCTCTTTTTCCATTTTGCAATAGTAGTAAATAGTTAAAAATCCATCATATTTTCTGTCATCTGTGCCCCATTCTAGAGTTTTTACTGTACTTTCTGTCCTGTAAATACAACAGGAAATCAAGGACAGTTGTCACCAAAACAAGCATTCACCCTTGGGAAGAGTTTCCCTCTATTTCTGTTCTAGTTACCACTGAAAATGTTCTTCTATTTTAGCCCCAGTGATAATGTTTACCAGGACAAACAGAGAAAGTAAATTTTCCTGTTGGAAAAGGAGACAGCAGTTTTAAGTCTCTATGCAATCTATTCAAAACAGAAAAAAATACCTTTAGATAAACTTTAGCCACTGACACAAATTCAAGGGAACATTTACAAAGACTAGCACCAAGTGTATCAGGCACACCGTAATCCCAGGATCTAGCTAAAAAAAAAACATTGCTGGATTGTGATACTTCCACCGCCTTCAATTTTAGCAATTTTCAAATATTACATATTGCTAAATCAAAATATTAATGCAATAAAAGATGCTTCACACAAACACAATATCAAATGTTAACCAACAATAAAATGTCCAATAAAAAGTCCACAGCCATGTGTCCCAACACCAAAATTGTCAATCATACACGTATAGTCGTTTCTCTTTTCTTTTCCTCATATATTTTCATACTTGTGCCACTCACTGGAAGGGGATGCCCCTTATTTCAAGAAGGTCATTATGCACTTTTCCCAGGTTAGAGATGTCACTGAATAGCACAATTCCTCGTAGACCGCAGTAGATTTTGGCCTTTCACTGTTGTACCTAGTAGTCCTCACTTATGTACCAACTCAGCAACATATGCCATGATTTTATATCATAGTGCAGTATTTAAATAAATAGATCACAACAAAATCTTAAAACAATGCCCACTCACATCTGGATGTGCCCCAGAACTCCACTTTCACTGATAGATTGCCCAATAGGACCTCAGGGACAAGCAACCAGGCTAGACAGTATAACACAAAACAGGACTATAATACTAACACAAAATAGGACTGGACTGCACAGTGTCGTTAATGACAGGGTATGCACTGTTTATGATCATCTTAAGATTGCTAACATCTGATCAACAACTCTGTCCTCTAGGAGTGCCAAGACTCTTTGTTAGTACACAACTAGGCAATGCATTTCACTAGGACCAATGCCAGCACATACAGTATCTCACAGAAGTGAGTACACCCCTCACATTTTTGTAAATATTTTATTCTATCTTTTCATGTGACAACACTGAAGAAATGACACTTCTTTGTAGTGAGTGTACAACTTGTATAACAGTGTAAATTTGCTGTCCCCTCAAAATAACTCAACACACAGCCATTAATGTCTAAACCACTGGCAACAAAAGAGAGTACACCCCTAAGTAAAAATGTCCAAATTGACCTAGTGTTACAAGGTCTCAGGTGTGAATGGGGAGCAGCTGTGTTAAATTTGGTGCTATCGCTCTCACTCTCTCATACTGGTCACTGGAAGTTCAACATGGCACCTCATGGCAAAGAACTCTCTGAGGATCTGAAAAAAAGAATTGTTGCTTTACATAAAGAAGGCCTAGGCTATAAGAAGATTACCAAGACCCTGAAACTGAGCTGCACTCAGAACAGGCCTCGCCATGGTCAACCAAAGAAGTTGAGTGCACATGCTCAGCATCATATCCAGAGGTTGTCTTTGGGAAATAGAAGTATGAGGGCTGCCAGCATTGCTGCAGAGGTTGAAGGTGTGTGTGTGTGTGTGGGGGGGGGGGGGTCAGCCTGTCAGTGCTCAGAACATGCGCCACACACTGCATCAAATTGGTCTGCATGGCTGTCATCCCAGAAGGAAGCCTCTTTTGAAGATGATGCACAAGAAAGCCCGCAAACATTTCACTGAGGAAAAGCAGACTAAGGACATGGATTACTGGAACCATGTCCTGTGGTCTAATGAGACCAAGATAAACTTATTTGGTTCAGATGGTGTCAATTGTATGTGTGGCGGCAACAAGGAGTACAAAGACAAGTGTGTCTTGCCTACAGTCAAGCATAGTAGTGGGAGTGTCTTGGTCTGGGGCTGCATGAGTGCTGCCGGCACTGGGGAGCTACAGTTCACTGAGGGAACCATGAATGCCAACATGTACTGTGACATACTTAAGCAGAGCATGACCCCCTCCCTTCGGAGACTGGGCTGCAGGGCAGTATTTCAACATGATAACGACCCCAAACACACCTCCAAGATGACCACTGCCTTGCTAAAGAAGCTGAGGGTAAAGGCGGACTGGCCAAGCATGTCTCCAGACCTAAACCCTATTAAGCATCTGTGGGGCATCCTCAAACGGAAGGTGGGGGAGCGCAAGGTGTCTAACACCCACCAGCTCCGTAATGTCCTCATGGAGGAGTGGAAGAGGACTCCAGTAGCAACCTGTGAAGCTCTGGTGAACACCATGCTCAAGAGGGTTAAGGCAGTGCTGGAAAATAATGGTGGCGACACAAAATTTTGACACTTTGGGCCCAATTTGGGCATTTTCACTTAGGGGTGTACTCACTTTTGTTACCAGTGGTTTAGGCATTAATGGCAGTGTGTTGAGTTATTTTGAGGGGCCAGCAAATTTACACTGTTATACAAGGTGTACACTCACTACTTTACATTGTAGCAAAGTGTCATTTCTTCAGTGCTGTCACATGAAAAGATAGAATAAAATATTTACAAAAATGTGAGGGGTGTACTCACATTCTGTGAGATACTGTATATTTATATATAAACACGAATAAGATTACACAAAAACTCTTGCACACACATGCTTTTTGAACATGTAACAATTCCTCACCAAACTGCTAATAGGTCATAAACTGCTATT